AAAACGACCAATAAAAAAAGTATTTATTTGTTGTGAGCTACATTTATTGCATACCAAAAGCGAAGGGGCCTTTTCTAATGTGACCTGCTTACTGTCTAACATATACTGCTAACATTCTGGAATGTTTATGTTAAATATGACCACTTTAATTGTAAAATAATGATGCCAATGTGTGTAGAAATGATTATGCTTTAAATTACTGTAAACATTTAATTTTTGACATTTTCCCTCAAATTTTTGTTCCAGATGATGTCAGTGAGAGGGTTAACTCAAACATGATCATGCTACTTTTTAAACCTGTTTGTCTAGAGCAGCCAATCAGAACAAACTTGGAATAAAGGAAGTTTGCACTGAAATGAAGGCGAGAAAAAACAGTTTGTTCTGATGCATTTGTTGAACTAAGGGGAGAATTCGAGTGTAATGAGCTCCCTTTAAAAGTAAGGCTGATTTTCTTTGCAGCCACTCTTTGCTTTGCTTCTGTTAAAATTAAAATGTTTCACAGCTATTTGCACCTTCCAGGGAAAAAAAGAAGCATGTATTGGTATTCTTTTTCTTTTTACTATTTTGCAGTTTATCCAGACGTTTTTTCATTTTTTTTAAACAATAGCAGCATTAATACTTTTTTTATTTTAATGTAATTGGTATTTGTCAGTCAGGGGACAAAAATTAAGGAAGTTTAAAACAGGTATTACAGACACAGAGTTTTAATAACTTAAAGACTTGTTTCTGATCTCTAAAAGGCCACTGTGTAAGAGTTAGATTTTCTTCTGTGTGTATTTCTAATCAGTGTGGCAGTGGATGGGGGATAAAAGACAGTGGGAACCATACTCTCCATCAGCCTGTGCCGTCTTGGACTCGGCCGTCTCTTCTGGGAAAACATCTGTCACTCTCTCTCTGGGCTCGGGGACAGCCTACGAAGTTGATCTGAAGAAGATGGTTCAGATCAATCCTGTCACAAAGTACAAACGGAAAGTTCGCTGTCAGAATGTAAAAGCAGGTGTGTTTTTCGCTGTGAATTTTCTGTCATCCTCCCTGCTCCCTGTATTCTGTTTTCATAAAACCTCATTTTTAAATTGTGTTGCTTGATATTTTCTTAACTGCAGTTTAGTTCATTTTTAAATAAATGTCTTTTGTAGAAATGGTATCTAAAACATAATTTCATGAAATTTATATAGTTTATTTCAGTTTAAAT